TAAGTGTCAATGATGGTTCAGCAATTTCGTCAGGTGACTTTAGCCTTAAAAACTGTGATGGCAGGGGCCAACATGTTGGAATTGACATTGATGCTCTGAAGACACTTGTTGAGTCTAATCCCAGGCAACATACTCGTGAAATGGCCCTGTAATTGCATGTCTCTCATGAAACAATAAACATCTAAGGAATATGGAAAAACTCCACAAATCAATTCACAGCAAACTGTCAATGCAGAGATCTGTAGTCAGCAACTGGACCATTTAAATCAAGCCCTTCATCAGAGACGCCCTTCAATCAGAAAGGTGTTCTTCTTCTCTACGACAATGTACGTCCACATGTGGCACGTTTGATGCAACACAAGAGTATGGAGTTGGGTTAGGAAGTTCTCCCCCACCCACCATATTCTTCAGATATGGCATCATCAGATTACCATCTTTTTCGTTTGCTGCAACACCATCTTAATGGGAAAACATATGCAAATATGGAAGGTGTTAAAGAGGACATTGACATGTTTTTGCTTCAAAGCCAAGTTATTCCTTTAATCATGGCATTAATAACCTGATTGTAAGATGGAAAAGCATCATGGATAGGAATGGAGACCATTTCATTTAATAAATGTTTTGTTTTGATATATAAGTTGTTTGGGTTTTTTCATCTAAAAAAGAAAAACATTAATTTCTTGATGACCTAATATTTTGTGAACTCATATAAAGTTAATTACATCAGTTACAATTTCCATCAACTGATTTGTTTTACACATTCTTTAAAAGTCCCTTTCTACCAGTTTTTAGCACTGCAATATCTGATGCCCTCTTTGTGCTCTGAAGATCATGGTTCTGAATACATATTATGTTCTGTAAACACAATATAATTTATTTACCCAAGAATGAAACTAAACATATACCCTTGTTTTTATATATTTACAAACTATTCATAGTTAACTGCCAACAATAAGTGTTGTCAGAGTTATGGCAACATACATGACCTTTACTCCAAGCAAAGATAACATTAGTCCCACCAATTCCAACAATGGAACCAGTCCAAGTCTTAAATATTCTAAGCTTGTAAAGTCCTGTTACTGCAGCAATACACAACTACAAGCTACACATGCTCCAGTTGAAAAACATGTTAATTAAACTGAAGATAAAATTAGTATTATACAAAAAGGAAGAAAGTAATGTAACATTTTATATTCCATGTGACAAATTTCGCAATATTATAGAAATAATTGAGTAAATATTTCTATGAAATTTTCAAGAATTGTACATTCACTAAATGAAGTTACCTTTAACAAAGTGAGTTATTTCAGTAAAACTTTATAGATCATTCATATTAGAATTTACTTTTGTAGTTTACATTTTATGTAGGAATAATGAGAGGACTTGTGTACAATTATTGTTGTAAAATTAAGTCCAAGAAAATATACTATGAGTGACTTGAAAACTTGTTAAACATGTGCACTGTAGAAGTGTTATCATAGTGTATTGTTTATAGCTAAATGTGAGCAGTTTAGCTAGGTCCATCATGTAGACAAGTGATACAGAAAGCAATTACATTTTATTTGCTTTTTTAGTTTAAACAAAATATTGTTCTGTTTTTATCTGCCCCCCAGTGGCACAGCGGTATGTCTGCGGACTTACAACACTAGAAACCAGGTTTCAATACTCGTGGTGGGCAGAGCACAGATAGCCCATTGTGTAGCTTTGTGCTTAACTTCGAACAAACAATAACTGAATTCTCACACTACAGTGTGCTATATTTTTTAGTTTGTTCACAGCAAAAAAAATTCTAAAATACCCAAAGCATTGAATTCTAACACAACCATGTAACTAGAGGTAGCTCATAAAATTAGAGGAAAAATAATCTTGTAATTATATTTACATAATTGTCTTATATTGTGTTGCTCAGAGGTTTTAATTAAAATTTGTATGAAATATGATTGGTTGATCTACTGCACAATTAAACATATTTTGGTTATTTGAAATACATTGTTATTTATATTTATTTTGACCATTCTATTTTTTCTACAAAATAACAGTAATTGTGGTTTTAACTCTCTCAGCACGGGGTTAGCCAATTTGACCAACCACATGACCTCTTTGTATTCATATAAGGTCTTTATAGATTTGATACTACTAACTTTTAATATAGTGTTTATATCTTCAAAAAATTTAGCAGTCTTTCAGTAAACATTATAAGTCTTTCAGATAAAAAAAAATCATATTTTTTGGTGAAGTATTTTAAATATACTAAAGAAAAGATTTGTCCATGAATATATTGAGTATTTGTTTTGAATAGTCCATATGCAAAGTGATTTTCATATTAAGATTAAATATACTTTTGTTCAGCTCAAAAATCTCAGATTTGATTTGTGTAATCTCTAAAACTTCCTAAATACATTTCAAATGTTTGTTTTCAGTAAAACTTTATATTGTATCTGTTATTTTCTCTACCATAACTCTATACAATGTTGCTCAATTTGACCTACCTCGTAACCCCAAAAAAATCTAATTAAATCTAAGTTACTCTTTTTTTTTTCTAGAATGACTTCAAATTGTAACATGAAACTACATTCGTTTATCCTGAGTAGCTTTATACTTGTAACAGTATACATCTATTTATGATTAAATTTTATTGTTTTATTGCTCTTTGAACTATGTCTAACTACTGTTCCCGCCATTATAAGTTGTAACTCAATTGGGAATGTGGAGGTCATGTTACGCTATCGAATTACATCACCCACAAGCTGCTCGAACATTTTTTATTATATTATTATTATTTATGTAACCTTAACTAACATAAAGAGATCCCTATTTTTACATTTTAGTTACTTTTATAATAATAAATATAGAATAAACATGAAAAATAATAAAGTATTTACCTGAATCTTCTTTTTTCTTGCTGTCAGTTGTTGATGACACTTAACCTTACTTTTTTTATACTAATGGTAGTAATGCACTAAACAATTTTTATTTAATTAAATAATGTACCAAAGAACATAGAATAATAACATGCAAAAAGTAGACAATGTCTTCGAACTAACACAAGTTTTCGAAATTTCTAAGTATGCGACAAGGACTATTACAAAATCATACAAGCTAATTGTTAACTTTCCTGTGGGTATGAAGCTTGTACTAACAGTGAAATTGACAATTCTTTGTTCAGAAAACAATGTTGTATGATACATCATTTGATATATGAAAACTTTGTCTTTCTATTGGTTACAGGTAATATATAATTAAGTAAGAGAGAACTATTAACAAATCCTGAAAGAGAGGATGTGACAGCTGGGTGTGGCAGGAGGGGTTTGATTTTCCATTTGATAGCTCTGTAACCAAACAAAATTGAAGGCTATAAAAATTATGGTTTGTCTGAGCAATGGCGATTTTATAGTTAGTAATTTATGTTTAATTTAGTACTTATTGGAGGGTTGGTGGATAAAATAGAGAAGAGGAGATAGCTAGAGAAAATGTGTCACACTAGGGGAAATTCAGGATTTTTTTAAATATTGCCTTATGAAATTAATACCTTAAACCTTATATACTATTAAAATATTGATTATTAGCTAAGAATTTATGCTATAATAATTGGTATACATAAACAAAAAGTAGATTAATATAATTTTGAATGTTAGTCACTAAAACCTTGTGATATGTGCACTAAAGGACGCCTGTGGTGATAGGTTTAAGATCATCATATTAAGTTGGAAAGAAGTCTGTGTTGAGAGAGAGAAAGCTGTGGGACTAAGCACAGCCTAGCAGAACTGAGTGTCTTTTCATTTGTACAATTATGTACACTGTGTTTCCTTTTTGCTTGTTCAATAATAAAAATTGTTTTCATTTTTATTAACTTCATACGCTCTTGTTATCTTACACTAACACCAGGGAGATTCTTTTAAGTTTTCTGATCTGATGCATTCTGTTGATTTTCTGAACAGATCTATAGTTATTTGCAGACCCATCTGTCTGAAGATTTACAGGAAATCAGCAATTTTTACATGAAAATACCACACATATTAATGCTACTATCACTACCTGGTTTCGTTTCACTGATTTCATCTTGCTTCTATGTAACATGTAACTTTGTTTTCTAGCGGTAATTGAAGAGCTGATACAAGACAACCGATTAACAGGAAGTGTGTCAGGTGGCCGTACTGAAAGATCATCTTATATTCCTAGTATTTATGCCAAATCTCAGAATGAATGGGTTGATTCATTCTACACACAGAATGGATACTTAGGTGAATTTGTGACTTTTAATTATTTTAATTCTTGATTGTTTCATTATATGTTTTGTGTTCTCTTATAGCATATGTAAAACTTATCATAATTTCTAGACCTTGTTTCACATGACATTTAAAACATTGGTTAGCTTAATTAATCATTTAACCTTTTCCCTTGCAGTAATATTTATATTGTTACAAGGCCACTATTAATCACTTTATCACAGATGGCTTGTCTAGCAGTTATATCCTAAACATGACAATGTGCAAAAAAATGTTCTTTCTAATGATATGTTTGTTTTTTTGTACTACTAAGAGATATTAGTATAGACTCATGAAACATAAAGCTTACCTTGTCCCTTACAAACCATTGTTTGGCTTTCCCAACATAGCAGCACATGGATTAGTTTTTGATTTCCCTGTAAACTTCTAAACAAGTTATTTCACTGTACTACACTGCATTATGATCAGTTTGAACCCTCCAATTACAAAGTGAACAAGCTGTTGTTGGATTTTTTAACTTGTTGTACTGACTATGTCAATAACACTGTACCTAGGTTTGTTTTAAACTTCCTTATTAGCAAGTAATCACAATTTATACATTTGTACTTATAATTGTAAAAGTATTCTTTCAAAAATATTATGACTCAGGTGTGAATTACTTGGTCCATTATTCCTAATGTTTAATAAAAAGAATACTTTGTAATCAGGTATGAACTGTTGTAAATGAAAAACACAATTTCATATTGCTAGAATCTTTGAAAAATGTGCCTATCTTTTCAGTATTGTACCTTTATGTATTTTAATTGCACTTTTAATTTTTATTATGTTAAGAAATAAATAGAAGCACAATCTCCTATCCTTTGTTACAAACAAGTTTTTATTTCACCCATCCAATGAACGGGTACTCCAGCTAGTATACACGCAAAATTAATGAAATGTCCAAAAAACAAATCTTTAATTTTCCCTAGTATGAGAATTGTGGCATTTGCTCTCTAGGTCTACCCTCGTCTCTAAGTTATTTACCACCCTTCTGAAAAGTACAGAATTTAATGTTAATTAGTCATTAAAATATATTTATTACTCAAGTGAAGTATAATTTTTATAGCCTTCAATCTTATTTGTTCACGGAGCCATAAACCAGAAAATCAGACCCACTTGCCATGCCTACCTGTAACATCCTGTCTTTCACAAATTGCCAGTAGTTCTCACTGATGTTTTATGCTATATTATCTATAATCAATAGAAAGGTAAAGTTTTAATCTATCAAATGACCTATATATTACATTTTTTTCCGTATAGAAAGTTCTCTATTTTGCCTCCATTTCTAAACTTTTTCTCACTATTCATATTGACAAGCTTAGCTGAATTTTTAAAGGCTCTTATCATATACTTAGAAAGGCAGAAACATTATGGTAGGTATAGAACATTGTTTGCTTTGTGCATATAATTATTATTTTGTGTTCTTAGATGCATTATTGTACTAAATAAAATTATTTAGTGTAATAGCACCATTAGTATAAGAAAAGTAATATTAAATTTCATAAACAGTCCAGAGCAAAACAATTAGGACCCAGATAAGTAATATATTTCTTTTTTTTCATATATATTCTTTATTTTTATTATAAAAGTAACTAAAATAAAAAAATGTGAAAGTTATTAGGTTAGATTAGGTAAGATAATGAAAAAACAAGTAATAAAAATTCTTCACAAGGTATTCTCATAAGCAGCTAATGTGTTATGTAATTCAGTACCATAATGTGAACTATGTGTTCACAGAGTGATTTACAAGTTATAAGGTGAGATTATGAGTTTGACAAGGTTCAAAGGACAATAAAACAATAAAATTTAAGTCTAAGTAGATGTATACTTTTCTAAGCTTGAAGCTATTTAGGATAAATAACTGTAGTTTTTTGTTACAATTTGTAGTCTTTCTATATATAAAAAAATGGGTAATCTAGATTTAATTTGTATTTTTTTTTATGGTGTGACTTTGTAATAGTCTAAAGTAACACACTGCTACAACCTGTGTTCAACAAAAAAAAACAACAATATATTAAACTGTAACAACACTTGGAATAAAATTTAGCACACAAAAAAAACGATTAATAAACACATGCCTGGCCAGGACTTGATATTAAGGTTAATGAACAACAAAACATAAATATCAGTATTAATTACTTGAAATAATGGAATCAGGAAAAGAACCAGAAGATGAAGAAACTTAATTCCAAAAAAAAGCAATATTCCCAAATCACCATTCTATATTAATAACAATATCGAATGACAAATAGCAATAATTCATTAACTGTTTTGTGACTCAGTTTATGAAGCTTATTGCAGGGTATTTATTTACTGAGTTAGATCACAAGAGTATATCTCATGTGATTATGAATTTGCATAATCTTTTGCTACATTGATAATATTTGTACATCACTGCTAGGGAAGCTAGTGTCAGTTTTATAATATATACGTACTTACTCAAACGTGATCAGCTAGAAGGTGAGTTAGCATTTTAATGTAACTAAAATTTCATAGATCAATTAAACGATAGAAGGAATAATAAATGAACTATAAACAAAACCATAACCAACAAAAAATAGAATTCACTACCTAACAACTTGCGAATGTAGATTAAATATATTTTATTAAAATTATAATTTATTACTGGAAACAATTACACAATAAAAATAATTTGAAAGTTACCAAATAATACTGCCATGATAACTTCCAAAACAATATTAAAAGTCTGGAAAGTTGCAAATCACCAAGGTTTACACCTAACCCAGGTCTGACTAACACTTAAAAAAATCATAATAAGATCACTACTCCAGTCGCATAAAAGTAACATTATCTTACACTAAAACAATTAAATATAAGTGTTGTATCATTCAAAATAGATGTGTAATATAATGTTTAGGTTAACAATAAACACTAGGCAAACAAAAATTTATTTAAGATATTGTCTTTTTGCCATTGCAACATTCTTGAAAGTATTGCATAAAAGACAGTCAGTGTAGTGCTGGATGGCTTCACTATTCTAATCTCCATGGGTTTCTATAAAAGTTTCTTGTACACCTGATAGAGCAGCTAAAGTAGCTCCATCACCAGAGGAAGAAAGTCATATTGTTAATTTTTATACTTTTAAAAAGAAAACTTAAACAAGTTAATGTGCTTTGACTGAAATTTGAGCACCATTTTGTTTGGTTTTATAGAGGAATGCAGGACTTTTAGTATATTTACTTTCTAGGATGGCATAGGCTACTACCATTCCCTGGTCACAGAAGTACACCCCAGACCACTAATATTAAATTTTTGTGGCCCCATTGGCTGTCACATTATTGTACTTTAAACCCATGGAAAATTTTCATACTAACTTTCATGTGGTTAATAACATAATTTAAATATTCGTGACAAATGCAATGTACCTTATGTCTTTTTATTTTACATTTGTGTGTATATATACGTACAAGAAACACATCAGTTTTCAAGTGCATTAAAAAGTTTGATTTTATGATGTAATATTAAAAAATTTTCTGGATTTTTGGTCAATAATCTTTGTGTATTCATATACGTTTGTGTTTAGTAATTAACATCACATATTAGTGGTTCTTTCTTTGAGAAAATATTTTAGTATTAGTTTTGAATATTGCACATCATAACTCCATTGTATCCAGTGGCTCAATGGTAAGTCTGAAGGCTTATAAAACTAAAAATTTGGTTTTGATATCTGCAGTGGGTAGAGCACACACAACCCATTGTGTAACTTTCTGCTTAACAACAAATAAACAAATACATACATAGTTTCATTCCGTTGTAAGAATTAATTTTGATTAAGTTTTTTGTTTCTGAATTAGCTTTAAAAATTTAAAGTTATGAATGTTCATTCCATAAAATGTATTGATTTAAATTAACTAGTATTCACTAAGTAATATATTTTTTCTATCATTTCAAACAGAATATGATTCCCTAGTTCGACTTGGAATTCAGGATCCAAAGAACCACATCAAAAAAAGATACAAAGATGAATCGTTAATGTTTTTGAGTTCTGGATGTGTTGGTGGAGCTATTGTAGAGCAGGTTGAGGCCGCAGTTGATGAAGCTCTGACATCAGGATCTTGGGTTGATGTTATGGTATGGATACAAAAGCTTTTTCGGTATTATTGTTACTTTCACAAAATGTTAAGTATTTATTTGGTTAATTATTATATAGATCTCTTGTGTGACTATCTAATCAAGAGCATTAGAAATTTATGAAATAGATGTCATAGTGTAACTTCAGATTAACCTTTAGGTGAATTTTATTTTTGTTATAAATTTCTTTGATACTTTAACATCATCTGTTTTTGCTCTGTCAAAAGTAGAAATTGTGTAATTGAATACACCTGCAGAGTTATTTTACCTGTTTACCCTCATATATATATCATGTATATGTACCTTACTGAAAGGGATGTTAAGAAATAACAATCACCCAAATCTAGAGAGCTTTACTTTTTCTGGGCACATGAATAGAATTTGCCACTCATCTTTGTGTATGTGGATCCTTACCTGTTACAGTATGCTTCAACTTGCTGAACACATCCTGGATATGACTTGCTACATGTCTCTTTCAGAATGTTACTGGTATTCCAAGGCAGTCTTAAAAATTATGAAATCAAGTCCATGGCAACAAAATGCCTTCCTAAGTGCAGTAACCAAAACACCACCACAGCAAATGCCATCTGGAGAGATACTTTCACTTAATACATGAGCAAGATATAAGGCAACCATTCTCACCAAGGTAGCAAACAACAACTTAATTTGGGTTTTTATATCAAATATTTTTGATGAAATCATAAAATTGTAGGCAGCTTTCTAAGTTAAATCTTCTTCTCATTATATCCAACTTTCACAGAAAGTAACAATTAGAAAATACTACATAAAAAAAAAAAAAAAAGTCATGTTGTGTAACACTAGCAAAATAACAGACTACTGATACTTTCATTTTGCAACATTAATATTTTTATTCTTCAAATGATGTACAAAGAATGTGAAAAAAGTATTTAAAATACTTAAAACTATTGTAAAGTTAAAATAAAATATTTCCTTGTCCATTTAATAATCCCCCCACACACACCAAAAAAAGTTAAACTACATATGGTTTGGCAAGGTGTGCATTAATTATGGCTTGAATCACTTTTGATTAAACTAAATGTTTTTTAATTAAACTATTATAGTGTGAAAGCTACTAAACAAGGAATTATCAATATTTTCACTGGTCCAGGAGAAATATTAAAATACACATTAGAATCTAGAAGTGGAACTAGATTGTTCATGTTACCTACCTATACTTTTTTATCATAACTGGCCTCTCAAATTTGGCAAGATAAGGTAAGCTCTGTTTATTTGTCAGCAATTTTATTTTTTAAGTAATCTTAATCTTTGAAGTTATTCACAGAAAAAATTAAGAAAGGAAAGTAGAAATTGTTTTTCAACTTCTTTTCCCTACAATAGCACTTCTTTCACTGTCACATGTGATGTTTAGCATAAAATGCCACAGCTTTTGGAACAGCTTTGGTGCAGGCCATCCCTAATTTCAAGGACTGGAAGGTGATCTGTTATTTTGTTTTCCAATGCCATTTAGTATGTAAAATATCCAATATCCCCATCTTGGAAATTGTAAATCCACAATCTGAACACACCTTTATGATTTGAGTATATGAATATTTTATGTCAGAATGAGCTGTTACATACCCTTCTCAAAAGTGATATACCTATAATGCTACTTATGAAATGCTAAAGAATGTCAAAATAGAGTTGTGATACATTCCATTCTATTGCATCTTTATATCAGCTATGGTTTCCATGTGGCTTTCTGATTTTTACATTCAAAATCTTTCTTGTATAACCAACTCAACCTTCTGTGTATACGTGTGTGTGTGTAGTGGCATAATTTAATAACAACTGAGTATACATATAAGGATATTTTCAAGGAAAGTGACAAATACCTTCAGATAAATGTTTTTTATTCTACCTAATATTTCAACTTGCATCTTTTTTGAGGGTCTTTGAACATTAGTGGTTACAAAATTGATTTTAAATTACAGTAATTGAAAGGAATGTAAAATTATAATAGAATGGTGAAGCATACTAAAAGTATTGTTAAACAAGGTATGTTAAAAAGAAAGAAGTATAATAAACCTTACAATATAATAATAATAGTTTTACAGGGGGCTAAGCATTGTATCTGTTAATAGAAGAATATTTGGATTGAATCAGAAGAGATTCCTTAAATTTCTTGAGAGTAAAGTTGATGAGACATCTTATTGGATCAAAGTTTTAGAGGTTTGTGGTAACTTTCTTGAGAGAAAATTTAAAGAATCTCTGCTGAGTTAATCCAAACACCCTACTATTAACAGATACAGTGCCTGGCCTCTGTAAAATTATTATTATTTCATGTAAGGTTTATTCTATTTCTATTTGTTGTTTTTACACTTACTTTTGTGATCAGTGATTTTAACCTTTTTAACATGCTATACCATGCACCATTCTATAATATTTTTGTAATTTTACATTATTTTCGAGTACTATAACGTAAAATCATTTTTGTAACCTGTAGAGTTCAAAGACCTTCAAGAAATGAATAAACCACAATGTTGAATACAATAAAAAAAAAACATCTGAAGACATTTTAATATTTTTAGAGGTTGCTGAAAGTGTGTAAAGACTGCTTTTAATGAACCATTGGGAACTTGTGTTTTATGAAAATATGTAAAATGTGTGTAAGAAAGTGTATCACAATCCCATGTAAACAGTTCCAGGGCCCCCCAGTAGCACAGTGGTATATCTGCGGACTTACAACGCTAGAATCCGGGTTTCGATACCCGTGGTAGCTTTGTGCTTAATTACAAACAAACAGTTCCAAAATACTTTTGTACTCTTTCTCATAATGATTGGTATTTTTCATCAATGTGAAACTGGGAACTGTTCATTGGCACTTATAACCTTTAACAGTTCTGGTGACATCTGTGCCATTACTGTTATTACAGAAGTTTTAACAACTGACTTAGTTAAGTATATGGGTTTTAAAAATTTATTTTGACACCTTTATTTTCTGAAGGACAATTGTGGAGCTAAGTAAGATGTTGAGTTATGCATTATTTTGAGAACTTTTTGATGGATCATAGGTAGGTAATTGTTTCTAAAAACAAATACAAGTTACAGATTCTTTTAGAGCAAAAGAGTGATAAGAAATGTGATTCTGTTACACACACTTCTATAAACTAATTTGAAGTAATGCTTGTTTAAGACATTTAGTTCTGGTTGTATGTATAACTAAGGTGTCTGAAAAACCTCGGATGAATATTGGTTTTTGGCATTTCAGTGAAAGTAGATCCATTGTGATGTTATTTATATATGTATAGAAACTTGGTTTTACCACTGTGCATTGCTTAAAAATATTGTCATTTAATCAAAGATTTTAATTTAACTTGAACTTGAGAAAAAGCTTGAGATTGTAATTTGTTCATAGAAATTATTGCAAAGGATACCTATTTGATTTCCTGTCAGCATATCTAGATGGTCGTTTATAGAGAATTGGAACTGTATGCAAAATTTATGTTGGTGCTTAACTCAATTAATCAATATAAGATTAAATATGAAAACAGTAAAATAAAGTTTGTTGTTTTCTTAACATGAAAATTGCCTTTCACTCAGACTGACTCACTAAAAGTTTTGGAAATTTACAGGCATGCTTAGTAGAAATGCTTTTTTAAAAAATCAGATTTTTTTATATACAGCAAACTTAATATTTACTAAAGGCTGCCAAATTTTGTGAAGCTTTGTTAGTAAATTCAGAGTTCTTGTATGTATAACTTCATACACACAGACTTGGTTCATTGGATGAAGGCCACTCTTGTAGTGTTAATTTATTAACTATGAGAATTTATTACTGTAATGTAAAATAATCAACTAATTGAAATTAGAGTTTATAATTACTCTTAACTGTCCACGTAATTGAAATATTGCCATTATAATTTTTCATTATTTTCATTTAATTCAGGGTTGTTCAGTTTAATCAATTACTATCACTCTCACAGAAATACTCAACTAATTAGAATTGGGGTTTCCAGTTATTACTAATTTTGATTATTCCACTTATATATGTCTCGTGGAAATATTCAATCGGAAGAAGTCCCTACTGTGGTTACTCATGTGAGAATGATTCTTTATACAAATATCATGGAATCCTCAAGTAAATTCATACACAATTTTCTACATGTAATACAAATGATAGTGTGTCAGAATAAAATAAAAATCAGCATTTTAGATGGACATATGTTTAGGCCATTTTTCAAAAATAAAGGAATTTATATATATAGAAAACATAAAAATTTTTGTGTCTGTCTGTCCTTTATCTATCTATCTACTCCTTGATTGTTGGGCCAATCTCAACCAAACTTTATGGGATAATAGTTTGGAACAAGGGGCATGTTACTGGGGGTTTACTTCCCCCCTCAAGTCCCATTATTGCTGTTATTGAGCATTTATTATGTTTGACATAAGTTAACATTAGCTACATTTATAGCCTTACACTAAAAAAAGTTCATTTTCTATAACACAACATACACAAAGTGTGGAGGAGGGCACATAAACATATATCTCACAGTGTGTGCTAGCTTTCTCTAATGAGGAATGCAGTGAAAAAAATGGCTGCCACTATTGCACTAATACATAAACTCAGCTGAAGTTTCTACTCCAACAGCCACAATAAGACTGACATGAAGAACCATTTCTTGAGTTATACCCACTTCTTACTTTGACCTGTGACATTTCAACTTCAACCTTTAAGACACTTTTGTGGGTAATGGCTCTCAATTATTTAATCATGTGAAACACTGTGGAATGACATTAACAGCTGAGTTTTGAAAGCAGGTAACAAAAAGCACCCCTACTACCATTACTTTGGCCGATACCTCTTAATAAAAGTCACCCTGTCCATTACACATGTTTTAAGTATATACATAGAGTTTTTAAACCTTATACAAAATGTTTGGTGAGGTAATAATAAATACTGTAATAATATGTTATGTTATAAATAAATTATGTGAAAGTCAAGATTTTATGTTATGTATCATAGCATCCACCCCCACATAACCTGAACAAAGCACAGGTTCCTCAGCTTCTTATAGAATAGATCTGAAGATTCACCACACTTATAAACCTGACCATGAACCACCAAGCTGTAATGGGCTCTATAACTTCATTGACAGAGTCTATTTTTCCTTTCTAAATTTATGTTGGTGTAATAACTATAAAACACAAATGTAACAGGTTTACTTCTTATTTCTCAGTTATAGACTTTGTCCTGAAAACAGTTTCATTGCACATCTGTGTACACAGTCAGTGATGCCTTTGATTATTCACAACAAACTATATGGAAGAACCAATGATTTCAATGTACTTAATTGTAACTGATTCCATCAATGTTTGCTGTTCTGTATTTTGGTGAATTAAATATCAAGGTTGCTTGTAGTACTCAACAGTTAACATGAATTACTCTTAATTGTGGTAGTTTTTCAATTCTTGTCTGCAATTAAATCTAAAATTTCATTACACATACAGCCACTGCTGCCATCAGTTTTCACTGTGGAAGATGTCCAGCATATCTTGAACTCTGTGTTAAAGGTTAAGATCAAACAGAATGCACCGATCCATACATTTATCCATACAGTTGTCTTCAGTGATCTGTTCTTTCAAAAATGTCTTGAGCCTTTTAATGCACTAATGACAGAAAAAGCAAAAGAAGTAAGTTATTTGGAGTATTTTTTATATATAAAGTTTATATTTTATTTATTTAGCATTTGTACATAATGTATCACTTAACATCTTATAAATACTTGAAATAGTATTCAAAACTGATTACAGTAATAACCTTTGTAATATGAATTAAGTGCTGTTATTCTGCATTGTTTTGTAGGATAGGAAGTCATGACTTTTATTTAGAAATGGGAGTTACTACTAAATTAGTTACTAACAACTTATGCAGGCACTAATTCTTAGGTGATACACACCTCCTTACATATAAAGCTATCTTTCTCACATGTCTGCCTTAGAGATTTGCATGCCACTAGCCTTTAGGCAACTCCCACTTAAACTCACAAGATTTCTTGTGAGTCATGATACTGCATAACAACATTATTATGCAGAAAAAGCCCTCCACTAATATGAGGGGGACACAACCTCCCTGCACACTAGCTCAATCTATGCTTTTGTACTCGTGTTCTTCATTCTTTTTCCTAAGTACTGCATGACTAAGATGTGTTTGTTTTTGCTTATAGTTTATAGTGATTTGCAGTCTAATAAAGTTGCATTATTTCCAAATCTGAACTGTAAAGTTCAGTTTACTCCAACATCTGTAGTGAAAGAGGAATATCCTCACACTGGTGAAGTATTTAACTTGGTTACTGGAGGCACATTAAACATGATGATGTGAGCGCCATTGTGCAAAGGGTAGTGGGTTCCATTATACAGCTGGGAGTTTTGGCACCTGTTCATTTGTCTGGTGTTCTTTCCACTTGTTCTGAGAAGGAATATGATAAAGGAGACAACTTTGACCATTTATTTTCTTCTCTGGAACCTCTCTCCCTGTTGAGAATGTTCAAACTTCTTCACATTATCGGAACCTTATCACTCAAGTATATTCTGTCTTATCTCCTGATATTGGTGTTCCTTTTTTTTAGATCAACTCTGTTCCCGCGATCTTATGCCATGTCATCCTGTCCTTTCAGAATCCTTTATCATGGCTTATAGACATTCGCACTTCTCCTTTCTTGAGTCGGAGACCTTGGAATCTCTTTTGCCTGTATGGGGGGCAGACTTGCTAGGGTCAGTCTCTGCCCAATTCTTCTGTCTTTGCCTAATCCTCCTTTGTGTGCTTCATTACCATTCTTCTCTGCACTTCATGTCAGAGGCATTTACCAAGCCTCAGATGACTTCACTGGTGATTCCCATTTCCTTTCCACCATGTCTCATACTACTTCTTCTGCCCTTTCCCTACTCACTTGGATCATTTATTGTTGTGTAGGGATATCCTTCTGTCTCGTATTCCTGCCTTCTCTCCTCCTTTTTATGAGACCTCCACCTCTCACCGTTTCTTCACCCTTCTATATTTGGTGATATTCCTTATTCAACTGAATCATGAGCAGAAGTTGTTTGACATCAATCCCCACTAATTTCCATGGTCCCAAACCCCAAGTTCCACTCCAGTGTCTACCTGGGTTGTTGGAATGGAAGTTACTTTCTCCTTTGCTTCCTAGTCATGAGGTGAAGATGGTTGGGACCCTCTTCCTACTGCAGACCAGAAGACACATACCTGATGCTGTATGGTTTTGGACTAGAGTTGACCCACTGACTTTTTGCAGTCATCTCCAGTTCTGTTCAATTGAAGTGAGCACTTAAAAACAATTTGTGCACTGTTCCTGCATATGCACTAACTTGTCTTGCCACCTTCTTGCAGTTGGTGTCAGTCCAAGAGTCTCGACAATAAAGTTGTGGCAAGACACACTAATGGAATGTATTCTATATGCTCCTCCTGCAGCTGATGTCAGTCTAAGAGTCTAAATCTGACAGTAGAGATGACACGAACACAAACTAATGATTCAAGTTCCCTTCTTCTGCAGCTGGTGTTGGTCCAGAAGTTTGACGATACAGTTGAAGTGTGCACTAAGCACAGTCTGATTTTCCCCAACCATGCTACACTTTTTCGTCAGTCCCTTCACCATGTTAATGTGGGATTCTAGTTTTCTATGTGAAGAGGTGTGTATCATCTTAGAAGTTAACATTTTCCTTACCTCGAAATATATTTGCAATATATACTCACCTCTTTACACACTTTCCACCCTTCCTCCCCACTTCCAGTGCTACTTGGTTTTCTTTGCCTTATCAATGAATGAAGATCACAGTGCAAAAGGATAGAGGGAGCTAGTGCAGAACAAGAGATGTTTTGTTGCCTTCCTATTGGTGGAGGGCTTTTGCTGCATAATAATATCATTATGCAGTAGAGCAAGTCATGAGAAATCTCCCGAGTTTATGTGGGAGTTGCCTAAAAGTTAGTGGCATGGAAGTCTAAGAAAAATGTACAAGGAAGATAGCTTTCTGTTTGGAAATGTGAGTTGGAAATACATTTTTGGGTAAGGAAAATGTTAAAGTTAAAATATGGTTGTAAAAACTTAAATTGAGAAAACTTTTATCTTTTGCTTTTAACTTTTGAAATACTGTTATATTCCTTTTATTTTTGTGGTTGACATTCATTTTCAACATGTTACTTTTGTAATTTCAGAATTTTTGTTATTAGTTTGAAGACTTTTGTTGCAATATACAGAGTGGTCCAAAATTATCTTTTCTATTTTTAGATCTATAATTAAGTAACTAAAGAAATACAGCCATGGAGTTTTCAACATCTTGTAGCTCAACTCAGAGATATTAATCTTTCCTTGTATGATAACTTTTCCATCCTAAGTATTATCCTAATAACCCTCCTCTAAACCCTTTGCAATAATTCAATGTTCTTTCTGGAGTAAGGAGCACAAGACTGAATGCAATACTCCAAATGTGGCTTAACCAAAATCAAAATGTACATACAATCTAAAAAAACGTTGATGTACAATAAACAGTCATGTTGAAACCACTTTGTTCATTATGTATTAAAACATCCAAAAATTCTGGCTTTGATTGTTGTTTTTTTTACAATGAATCTTAATATTTCATTTACCATGGAAAAACTTGTCTAAATGTTCTTTTAACTAAAAAGTAAAGTGGATCCTTAATGAAAACACTGAGTTAAAAGTAATAGAAAATTTTGCCAACCATTGTCCAAGTCTCTATTTGGCTTACTTTTAGGTTTTGAATAGAAAATTATATTCTCTTAAAAGAGCATGAGGTACATGACTTTACTTCAAATGTTATCAAACACACCGAGATTTGCACAAGATTAAATATTGTAAATGGAAAGTAAGTGAGAGAGAAGGTAATAGAGAAGAGAATAAAAAAAATAAAAGATCTCATTCTTAATATAAACAAGATTATAGCTTGAGGTTATGGCAGAGTTAAGTATCTTATTGAGTTACATTTTGTATCAAAATATTGCTATTTATGTATGTAGCTAAACACTATTATTAATATTGATTCTTAATGCACGATGGTGAAATAACTCATAATGGCATTTAAAGTCTGCAAATAAAATTAGAATTTGTATGATTGCTATTGAATTTTTATTTTAGGATCAAAGCATGAAATATTGGGAGAAAACATACACCTTTTGTTTGTTGACTTTCAAGTTAGTGTCTAAGTTTAATGTAACTACTGTAGTATTTTCCATCTTTTCTGTTAGGATGTGGCTAAAGGTAAGTTCCTTTCAAAACTTCAAACAACAAGAAACTCGTCAGGGAAAGGAGAGAAACAAGAAAGTAAAACTAAAGAAGAACGAAGAAAAAAAGCTGCAGGTAATGGTTTGTCTTTTGTATGGATTTGTATCAAAGTTCTGATTTTGTTAATATTCATTACATACATAAGATTTAGTTGAAGATTTGATTGTAGTTAAGCCATATTTTTTGTCTTTATTCTTGATGTTTATTTTGTATTTTGAGTATGTAGGAACTATTAAAGTGAAAAATTATTCAGTGACATTTCACAGCAAACAGCTGAAAAAAGCAAGCACCCAAAACACAAGAATGAACTTTTAATTATTATTTATACCAGTAAGTGTTTTTCACTCTGAAACACTCTTTGAAACCAAATTAAATTTTCTTACAATGCTATATTGCATTGGTATCATTACTATGAATATATCTATAACACATTTAGGCAAAGGGACAGTTCCAGGTATTGACAATAAAACTGTTGTTGTCTTTATTTATCCAGCTTTCACTGAATTTATTTCAAATTGACAGCTACCACAGATACATTTGGAGAAGTATAACTTGATGATATTTTGGAAAATGAAAATAGTAAAGACATCATCTCCTCACTTATACAGTAGTTTCTAAGTCCATCCAACAAAGAACTTGGCAAGTTTCAATTTTTCTTCTGGTCAGGCATTTGACCTATTCTGTTGATGGAAAAGAAAGTTATCTGTAAAATTTATTAACATGTAGGTTACTGACCTTTAAATATAAAGAACTACATAATATAAATCTTATCTTCAGCCATGTGTAGTATGACACAAAAGTTAAGTAACAATACATAAGACTTGTATAGGTTACTGCAACAATGTCTTATAACAAGCATTTTCTCAAGTTAAAAATGGTTTATCTGGTTAACACCAACTGTTTGTGAAGAAAAGCAATTAAACACAACTTGAAATTTGGGAGTAAACCTCCTGTCAGTTATGAACTATATCCAAGTTACTTGTTACCAGTAGAGTGACTTAAAAGCCACATGAAACTAACAATATCCTAAAATTTGAAGAACCATATACTATGTGTGTTTTATACAAATAAACAAAATATTATGAAAAAGACAAAACATATCACTATAAAAAGAAACAACAAGAAGTACACCTTTTGAACCAACTATTTGTTTTTTAGCAGTCATTAGCTGATTTTACAGTCTTGCTGTAGAATTTTATGACTTGGCTATAGAGAATATTCCCTATTAGATTGTGTGCTGAGTTTCCTCATCCCCTAATTCAACAGTGTTTAATATTTTGAAGATTGCCATACTGGCAATAAAACCAATGATGAGCTTGGATTACAGTACTTAGAGAGTAGGTCATTAATCTCCACATTGCTTGGATTATAGTACTTAAAGAACGGGTCATTAATCTCCACATTGCTTGGATTATAGTACTTAAAGAACAGGTCATTAATCTCCACATTGCTTGGATTATAGTACTTAAAGAAGGGGTCATTAATCTCCACATTGCTTGGATTATAGTACTTAAAGAACGGGTCATTAATCTCCACATTGCTTGGATTATAGTACTTAAAGAATGGGTCATTAATCTCCACATTGCTTGGATTACAGTACTTAAAGAATGGGTTATTAATCTTCACATTGCTTGGGGAGCAGTATTTAAGGAATGGGTCATTCATCTCCACATTACTTGGAGCACAGTATTTAAGGAATGGGTCATTCATCTCCACATTGCTTGATTTATCACTAATAGTTTAATGTCATGACATTTCTTTATGAGTCAAAATATTTAATTATTTTTAACTAAAATCCACTAAAAACTCATCTTATTGTTAATTGAGGTAAATTTTAAATATGTATAGTTGGAAAAAGTGGAGGAGGTACTCAAGGCCGTGAGACTAAAACAAAGGCTGTGAAAAAGAAGTACAAACCTGGAGAAGATTCAGAATCTGAGGAAGAATACATAGGCTCTTCTCTTTCAAAGCAAGGAGAATTGGAATTTCTTACTGTTGTGGAAATCGAAGAAAAATTGGTTAGCTTGCCAATACTACATGAGTGTCCAGAAGATTTGCTGTCTGAGCTGGCCCAGTATATTTATAGGTATGAAAATTTTTAAAGAATATTTTAATTTATTTATGTTAACCCTCTCCAGACAGGTCATTGGTCAAAGTCCATGTCATCACGTTTGTTGGCTCTCATTCAAAATTTTATTGGACTACTTTTTCATGAATTTATATCAGTAAGTTTGGTATCAAACTGTAGATTATAATTAAAATTTTTGTATTATACATTAGTTAATTTCTTAATTTAAAAGTGAATATTAAAAAAACAGTTAAATATTGAACTTTGTGTGTCACATGGTATGTTGAATGCAGCAGTAGTTCAAATTAGATACTTGTGATGTCAAAATACTAAGTCTATATTTTTGTACAAATTAGGAACTCAAATTATAATATTATTAAGCTGATATCTAGCTGATATTAATAAGCTAGAATAGAAAATAAGTACCTCAAATATTTTCTATTTGCTGAGATATCGCTCATGTACTGAATCAAACACAGTGGCCCTGCTCACCTCTCTCCATTTTTGGAAATGATCCTTTATATACACTTACTTCAATATATGACATGTGAATAACCAATTGAAATCTGGGAATGTCCCCCTGTTGGCTTTCCTAGCCATCTTAATGTGTTAGGACACCATCTGATTCTTTCAACCAAGATTTCAAGGAGGTAGGTTGTGTCTTTAGTCTGTTTGAAATTTCATATTTTTTTAGAGCCAAATACAGCTTAGTTACTAAGCTTGATAAATTATAGTGGAATTGTATGGTATCGATATAG